GATGCCTCAGTGGGTAATGATGCCCGCAAAACCTGAGTACCCGAGTCTGATCCCAGAATTCCCTTGGTGGAAGGAGAATGGGCTTCTGAAAGCTGTCTCCCCTGGCACCCCAAATGCACCCCTCAACAAATAACCAAATGTTTATGTGTCTCCTCTTAATCTAGTCGATGCATTGGGCTGTCAGAAGTAAGAAAGACTTGATGCTGGAAGGAAGTGGCCAGACTTTCGCCAGTACAGTTCCAAACAAGGAACGGAGTGAGCAGAGAGTAACTGAGAAAGGGGACCCAGATTCAGCCCCAGAGAAAATGATGCAAAAGGAATCTGAGTCCCCAGAGAAGGGCATCTCTCCACAAGACCCAGACTCTCTAGGTAAGTTATGTTGCCTAGCTCTTCGCAAGAGACAACCGGAGATATCAGAGACGGTGGGTTGTATTACAGCTGTCCTTAACCTGTTCTAGTACACACAGCACTATAGACAGGTCTCACTACCTATGTAGACCAGACTGACTTGGAACTCATAGAGATCTGCATGTCTCTGCATCCCAAGTACTGGGATAAAAGGTGTGTGCATGCCCACCTGGCTTGGGTAACTTTTTAAGAAGAGACAGGAAATGGGAGGGAGGTGAGGAATGGACCTGGGAGGAGCTAAGGGGAGGCATGGAAGGGTGACTATGCTCCAAATATTCTGCACACAATTCTTAAAGAATTAGTAAAAATACTATTAAAAAATTCCCAATTTGGGAGAGGATGGTTATTAAGCATGAGAGGTCCTTGTACACAGGCATTATAATTTCTGTTTATAAGAATGTCAGCATACCGTTAATGTAAGTACTGTTTCTATAAAATATGAATAATCTGCAAGGTATGGTGCACATGACTTTAATCTCAGTACTCAAGAGTTCGAAGGCGGGCAGATCTCTGTGAGTTCCAGGCTAGCCCAGTTTACATAGTGAGTTCCAGGCTAGCCCAGTTTACATAGTGAGTTCCAGGCTAGCCCAGCTTACATAGTGAGTTCCAGGTCAGTCAGGACTACATTTTAAAAAGGTTGCAGCAGTGTCTTATCCCCAAGCTGTTTTACTATGGTAGTTTGACTTTTCTCCTTGTCTCTGATTTGAAGTATTTTTCTTCCCTCTTCTCAAGGTCTCTCAGACTTGAACCGTGGCCATCTTCGTTTCCGCTGGTCTGGCGATGCTCCCTCGGAACTCTTGAGGAAGTTCAGAAACTATGAAATCTGAGGCATTGCTGCTCTGTGAGGGAAGGCAGGCTAGGCCTTCGTCTGTGCTACCAAAGTGAATCTTTGTCCGTATCTTTAAAACGTTGTGTTTGTGAGCGGCTCAGAATAGTCAAGTCCTCCATCCTTGAACCCATTCTTAAAAGTGTGCTTTGTGTTAGTTTGTGCTGGGGATTGAACCCAGGACCTCCTATATGCTCTGTATCATTGATTCTTACCTCCTACATGTTGTTTAAGTGAGAAAATTATTGTAAGTTGTAGTTTATTTCAATATTTGAGTCAACTAAGGCTCTTAGATACACTTGTTTCTAAGAGTACACTTAGATACTATGTAGTTTGTATTTCTAAGAGTACACTTAGATACTACTTAGTTTGTATTATATGTTTTTCCTGGTAATGCTATTTTGTAGATATCTGTTAAAAAATCATTCTGCATTGGTGTCCTGTGATCCCTAGCCGTACAAAAATGTCTTCTGGATTTTGGTTTAAAACAAAATGTATACTTACTTGTCTGAATTTCTTTCTTTCTTTTCTTTTCTTTTTTTTTTTTTTTTGGTTTTTCGAGACAGGGTTTCTCTGTGTAGTTCTGGCTGTCCTGGAACTCACTTTGTAGACCAGGCTGGCCTCGAACTCAGAAATCCACTTGTCTCTGCCTCCCAAGTGCTGGGATTAAAGGCGTGCGCCACCACTGCCTGGCTTGTCTGAATTTCATAGAGTAAAATAAATAATTTCCCCAAAGTTCATAGATGCATTCAGGATGCCAACTGTATTCATTCACTCATTCATTCATTTTTTTTTCGGGGGGGGAGTCTACATGGTGCCACATAGCACAGGCTAGCCCTGAGCCTCTCTATGTAGTTATCCTCAAACTCTTAATCTTCCTGCTTCTTTCTTTGTTTCCTGTAGACAAACTCATGAAGGTTGTCCTCTAACCTCCATACATTTGGCGTGGCACGAACACACCCACACAGAAAATATGTTTCCTAGACAGATGTGGTGACACACACCTGTAATCCCAGCCATTGGGATGTGGAAGCAGAGGACTGGAGGTTCAGTGCCAGCTGTGGCTACATAGCCACTGGACAGCATAGGGCCCAGGAGACCCCAATTCAAGAAAACCAAACCAAAGTAAAAAGAAAGCTGTAAAATGCTTCGTTTTATCAAATATCAGTGCAGACAGTATTACTCTGCTCTAGCTGCCGTAATAAAACCCGTCTGGTGGCTCAAGTGTGCCTTGTAGTTTGTGGAAAAAAAAAAAAGTCCAGTTCAAGGGATGGTTAGCACAGTTCTGAGGCTGCCCCGGCTCACAGGTGGCTTGGCTGCACACCATATGGCCTCTTGTCCCTGTTTACTCGAGTTCCTGGTATCTCTACCTTTTCATAGGAAGATATCAGTAATCCCAGATCAGGGTCCGTCTTTCATGACCTCACTTTAACTTATTTCTATCTTAACAAACAAACAAACAAACAAACAAACAAACAAAAACCCCACTTATCTCTGAAGAAGATACCAGAGCTTTGAACTCCAGCTTGTCAATTTTAAGAGGTCATAATTTACTTCATACAACTAATGAAAGAAATTAAAACAGAGAGAGAGAGAGAGAGAGAGAGAGAGAGAGAGAGAGAGAGAATAATCTTGTGCTGATTCCCATAATTTTATCTGATTTTTTTTCCTGTTTTGTCATCCATAAGTCCGTTTAGAGAATAATTCCTAAAAATATTTTGCCATTTCAGTAAAGTGATGCATTGTCAACATTTTTGCAACTTTTATCAATAAAGAAGAAGAAGAAAGAAAAGAAAAAGAAATACACACACACAGAAAAACTTTGAGGGGCTCTCAGACAATTGCTGTCCTCCGTACAGTCACGGGGCCAGCACCAGCTGGGTAAACACTGTAACAGGTTGCCTCTCCGCCACATCAAAGGGAAAACCCCTCCCACTCCCGTGAGTGGCTCTATTTTTGTTACATACCGCCTCCCCCCACCCCCCATTATTGACAAGATCTTGTTTTTGTTGATCCACTGCTGTTGCTTAAGAAATCGCCGCACTTGACAGCTGCTCCTGATGGGTTAGCCTTGGACGAAGCTTCGAACACATTTGACCAATTAACTCTGAAGGACCTTGTACATGTAAGGTGCCATCGAATCCTGACTGAACTCCAGGTTTAAGAATGAAGCGTGTGCTTAGTTAGGTATTGCAGTCCTTGGAACGGAGTCCAGATGAAGAATGGACCATCATTTCTTCTCTGCGTTGTACTGCCCAGAGTGCCCTGCACAACCACAGTCAGATTGTATGTACAGTCTCGCAATTTGAAAGTCTCTGTTTGTGGATTGTGACTCAACTCATACCAAAGCAAACTGATTATGGAAAGACAATCTTTTAAGTAACTTTAAGCCTCCCCGATTTCTGCAAGGGAATCTAACTTGTTTTAATTTAGAAACAGGAGCTTTTAGTACCTCTAGGTCCTGATCAGCCTGTCTACTTAGTTTTTAAAGTCCCATGATTAAAGGCTGATACGTTACCTGGCACGGTGGTGCATGCCTTTAATCCCAGCCCTCAGGAGGCAGAGGTAGGTGGATCTCTGAGTTCCAGGCCAGCCTGGTCTACAGCGTGAGTTCCAGGACAGCCACAGCTACACAGAGAAATCTTGTAAAAAAAACAAAAGCAGACCAAAAGCTTATGTATTTATGGTTGCTGAGCCAGCTATTCTGGTTCTATTCAGGAGCTGGGGTAAGGACAGGCACAGAACTCTCTCTTCCTCTTTGTCTCTCTGTCTCTCTCTGTCTCCCTGTCTCTTTTAATACCCCAAGGTCCATATTAAAATATACTTTTTCTTCTTTCCCATTAGACAGGTATACCTAGAGCAGCATGTGTACTAAGAGGAAGTCGGGTCCTTTAGAACTGGAGTTACAGATGGTTGTGAGCCACCATGTGGGTGCTGGGAATTGATCCTGGGTCCTCTGCAAGAGCAGCACATGCTCTCCACGGCTGAGTCAGCTCTCCAGCTCCAAGGCACATATTCTTGAGAACATCATAATGTGATAAAGTTGTAATAGCAGGATATCAAAATCCTTAAATGTTTTCTGCTTAAAATGTTTATTCTCTCAAGAGGAATTGAATGAAGGCTGGTGAGTTGATCTCTCAGACCTATACAGTGGGAGGAGATAACTGGTTCCCAAAAGCTGTCCTCTGACTTCCACAGGCACACAGAGTAAAATGATAAAGAAGTATCTACAGTAGTAAACACAGCTACATGAACATTTGCATCTAAAGGTGAATATTGAATTAGTTTATGCAGTGTGGTTAGAACATGACAAGGACGGACCACGTGCACTAGTTACTAGTGTTACTAATTATCATCTATGATGTCATGAGTTAACTAATTAAATTGTCTTGTCTCTCAAGTCCTTCCCATCATTCTTTCTTAGAGGTATTTCTTTTCCTTTCTTTTCTTTCTTCCTTTTTTTCTTTTTTTTTTTTTTAAAGATTTTATTTGTTTTATGTGTATGAGTACATTGTAGGTGTCTTCAGACACACCAGAAGAGGGCATCGGATCCCATTACACATGGTTGTGAGCCACCATGTGGTTGCTGGGAATTGAACTCGGGACCTCTAGAAGAGTAGTCAATGCTTTTAACCATTGAGCCATCTTTCAGCCCAGAGATAATTCTTTTGAAAAAAAAATTGTGTGTGTGTGTGTATGTGTGTGTGTGTGTGTTAGTGCTTGTCAGAACACCACTTTGTGGTGTGAGTACTTTTCTGCCTCTCCGTGGCTCCTGGTATCAATCTCAGGTAGGCTTGGATGACAAGAGCTAGCCCAGACCCACTAGTTTTTGGTTATTTTCTTTCCTTACGTATCCTATATATTCACAACCACTTGTGTGTTCCTTGCATCAAGCGCAGCATGGTACATCCCCAGCTGTGAAGCCTCCACTTACTCAGAGTGCAGAGTCTCACACTCACACAGTCTAACTACTCGGGTATGGGAAGCTCAAGTCTCCATTCGTCCACTGACTGACTACATCATGGAGAGTTTCCTAAAGCATGCCAGGTGCTAGCCTGTTCTTAACAGATGCTAACAATTCCATGTGTGAGTAAATATATATATATATATGCATACAATTTATATATAAACTATATAAATATATTTATATACATTTGTACACACATATATTATACATATTACCTATTATAATATTTATATAAAATTAACATATTTACATATAAATTATTTTTATTCATTTAATTAATTAATTAATTATTTTAATTTATTTTGTTTTTTGAGACAGGGTTTCTCTGTATAGCCCTGGCTATTCTGGAACTCACTCTGTAGACTAGGCTGGCCTTGAACTCAGAAATCCGCCTGCCTCTGTCCCCCAAGTGCTGGGATTAAAGGCATGCGTCACCACTGCCTGGCTTATTTTTATTTTTTTATTTTTTTATTTTTTGGTTTTTTGAGACAGGGTTTCTCTGTGGAGTTCTGGCTGTTCTGGCACTCACTCTGTAGACCAGGCTGGCCTCGAACTCAGAAATCCGCCTGTCTCTGCCTCCCAAGTGCTGAGATTAAAGGCGTGCGCCACCACCGCCCGGCCTTATTTTTATTTTTAATAAGACAGGGTTTTTGCTAAGTAGCTCAGACTGGCCTCCACGCACAGCACCCGTGCCCCTGCCTGTGCCCCTTGACTATTGGGATTACAAGTGTGCAGTACCATGCCTGGCTTGATCCGTAAGTTGTTTGGCATATATTTTATTGATTCCTTTTGAGGTGGCTTATCTTTCATTCATTTCTTTTTTTTTTCTTTTTTTTTTTTTTTTTGGTTTTTCGAGACAAGGTTTCTCTGTATAGCCCTGGCTGTCCTGGAACTCACTCTGTAGACCAGGCTGGCCTCGAACTCAGAAATCCGCCTGCCTCTGCCTCCCAAGTGCTGGGATTAAAGGCGTGCGCCACCAACGCCCGGCTCTTTCATTCATTTCTTTATTTTTTGAGGCAAGGTTTCCCCACATCACACAGCTGGCCTTGAATTTGTGGTCTTCCAGTCTCTTCTGCCCAGGGTGCTTATCATCTTTTTTTTTTTTTTTTTTTTTTTAAGATTTATTTATTTATTATATGTAAGTACACTGTCGCTGTCTTCAGACACCCATATGAGGGCATCAGATCTCATTGCAGATGGTTGTGAGCCACCATGTGGTTGCTGGGATTTGAACTCATGACCTCTAGAAGAGCAGTCAGTGCTCTTAACCGCTGAGCCATCTCACCAGCCCTTTTTTTTTTTTTTAAAAAAAAAAAAAAAAACTTTTTGCAATCACAAGTAAACACTGTAGTGAGCTATTTCATATACTGCCTCTAGGATGTGAAGTACATCTGTTGGCAAGTGGGGAGGGGAGAGAATACCTAGCTCTGGATTTATTGCGTTGCTGAGAATGTATAAGCATTTGGAATTTGTTTAGTATATCCTTAAAATTAAAAAAGGGATTTATGTTCGTCTCTGCAGAGGCTGGAAGATGCCATCAGACCCC